GAAACGTGAGCCAAATATTTAAATCCTCTTTTGACTTGCGATTGAGCTTAATGAAGTGATGAGATAAACGGATGCCGTGGGTGAGGTCAATTAAGCGAAGCAAAAATGCCCGTCCTGGGATGATGACAGAACAGGCGAAATTTAAGAGGCCAATTAAAGATTGCAATTCTCTTAATGTGATTTTCTTACGCTGTCGAAATGCGGTGATAAAATCAGTACATTTGTGTAATTTATCTAAAGGTAAACACGCCTCAAGTTTTATGGTGTCTAACTCAATACCCGCAAAAGACAACGTCGTTGACGGACCTCATGTCTTTTCCGGGGCCATAGGTAACCCAATAAAAGTGCAAAAATTGATAAATCGATGCAACTGAGTCAAGCAGGAATCATAGGACGCAGCTACCAGCAAAAAGTCATCAAGCAAATGTAGAATAGCTGGTATACTAAGTTTTTGCTGAGCAATCCATTGAATGGCAGCACTAAAAGTTTCAAAAGTTTTACATGAACTCGCTGCGCCCATAGGTAGGCAACGGTCATAATAATACTTGCCGCGCCATTTCATTCCGAGTAAACAATGGTCTTCTGGGCGAATTGGAATAATACGAAACACATTTTTAATGTCTGTTTTCTCAAGAAAACAACCTTTCCCAGCAGCTTTTATTAAACAAATAGCATCAGCCACTGTGGCATAATGGACACTCGTATTGTCAGGTGTCATGCCATCATTGACTGACGATCCACGAGGAAAAGATAAATGGTGAATCAGACGAAACTCGCCAGGGGACTTTTTCGGTACAAGACCAAGGGGAGAAACTCGAAAGGGATGAAATGGCGCCGCAATAAAAGGTCCGGCCAGTCTACCAGCAGCTAATTCCTTAGATAATTTTTGATCAACTGCACTTTGATTATTTAACGCAGAAGGCACGTTCTTGCCTTCGTTAAGATTTATAGTGCCGTGAAAATGTAAAGAAAAACCGGTAGTAAAACCTGAAATAAGTGTTGCAGTATCCTGTGAAGTATAACCTTGTAAAAAATATCTAAGATGATTTAGTTTTATTGGCGTTGGAAGCGATATTGTGCTGGTTCGACCTGGTAGTTCGAAATTGCTCCTTCTTTGAAAAGCCACGAAAATTACATCGCAATGCGGGGTGCGGGCCTCCACATTTAAAGCAGCTATGTTTAAATTCGCAGCCAGAACATTCGTCACCTTTGTGAAATTTGAAACAATGACCGCGTGGTACGTTTAGAAATGGCTGTTTTTTAGCAGAAACCCCAGCGCGCTGCATTTGGCCGGCTGGTTTATTGGGAGAGTATTGAGACCTAAGCCACAATTCCCAGTGCACGTTACCCCAAGACAGCGCGCTGCGTTCTGTTTGTCGCAAAAAACGAAAGTTTTTGTCATAAAAACGCCAATTGTGGCCTCGATCCACCAGGTCCTGCACAATATCGCCATACTTCATAAACCCCGACAAAAATGCGAAATGCGCTCATCCACATCGAAATACTAGCCACCTTTTGTGGTTTAGTGACCAGATCAAGTGAAAGTGATGAAGCGAGACCATCACTAGAAGGCGTGACGCTAAGTTGAAACTTATTATCCATCACTGGATTGCTCAACAGAGACCCAAAATCTATAAAATTATCATCCCAAATCTTGTTCTTCAATTTCGTGGAAACTCGAGAGTCAAGAGGTAAGGTTACCGAATGGTACAGTTGACCAGGCAATGAGGGCATAGCAGAGAATGTCTCACCTGTAATGGCTGAGTGGGCAGAATGTAAAGCTTGCTCGATGACAGCAGAACCAGGCAGTTGTGGAATCATTGAAGTTCCAGCAGGAGTAACCACTGGAGCTTCAATAACCTCACCAGATAGCTCTGGTTGCGAGAGTGGTGTTAGGCGTCGAGTTACTTCTGCTGTTACGGTCAACACAATTTGCTCGAGTAGCGCAGGCGAAATAGCTGAACTTGGTCCCTTGATGTTGTAGCAAAATTGACTGGAGCCACTGCGGGCAGTGTGGTTGTCGAGGCAGCACTACTGGGGCTGTTGGTGGTGAGCACTGTAGCGGCGGTGGCTGACGCTGACGAACGACTCCTACGAGGGCGCCGAAAAGGTGGTTGATTGGGCACAGAAGTTGTGGCTGTGCGTTTCGAACGTGTGTTGTGGTTGGACGGCATGATGAGCTGAAAGAAATGACTTAAAAAACTATTAGAACACAGCCATGCTAAAGATTTAGTCACATAGGTATGCGCATGAGAATCAATAAATCGTAAAATTAAATTGGTTGGGTCAAGCCTGGCCACACGAAGGTGACCGCACCACTGAGCCCAAAATTTGTACTTAAAACAAAAGACATATGACAAATTGGTCATAAATAATAACACATATAGATACAGTGAGGGCGAAGCCTCAACTAAAATCGCAGCGAAGTGCGATTGGTGACAACATATGGACTGAGAGCGAAGCCTCAGATAAAATCACAGCGAAGTGTGATTGATAATAACATAATGACATGAAGGGCGAAGCCTCCATTCTTTATAAATGTACAAGATTAAATTCGAGGGCGAAGCCTCCAATTATTTAACATATAGAGGAGATAAACCCCTCTGGTTTAAAGTAACTGTATGGCCTTGAGTATTGCACCCCGGTAGCTACGGTACAAACGATATTGAGCTCTGCATGTAAAATGTACGCCATCGGGTAAAAACGGTGAGATAGATGAGCGAGTGAAGCCCTTATGGCTCCAACAAAAAAATTATGCATGCCATTAAATATTACTGTTAGGTATTGATTTAGAATCCTAACTTTTGCGTTAAACTCAGGGGAGGAGGCTCGATCAGATACCAAGCAAACCCCTATAACTCGGATAGAAGTTACCCAAAGCAATAAATGAACCAAGTCGTCTATTTTGGAACCCACAGTTTCGCATCTCATTAAAGGCAAATCATTGGTCCCAACCTCTAAAATCACTATGTTGGGTTGGAACTTCTGAACGTATCCAAAATCGCATTTCACGAGCTTGTCCACCGTCCGTCCCCCAATACCATGTAGTTTAATGGAGACATTGGGTAAATTAAACTTTAAGGCAGCCCGCATATCAAATTGAGTCTTCAAATCCCGATGCAGGCGCCTGACAAAAGAATGACCAAAAACAAGAACTTTGGGGCGAGACAAAGCCATAACAAATAAAAATTGACTCTTATCGTCACTTTAAATGAAAGATATACTAACCTGCAGGGGTGGATGTAGACGTTCTTGTGACTAGTTTCCAAGACAACACTAGCTCTCACCGTGAGGCGCGAGTTAGCTAAGGGGAGGGAGGGGGGTTCAGGTCCTGGAATAAACACAAATTAACAATTGAAGTTCATTTTTTTTTTTTTTGAGGCATTTGCAGTCTCTAAAAAAGAACCTTTAAGTTTATACTTTATGTCAATGATGAATATGAATATGTCATTGTAAGGTCCAGGTCCTGGAATAAACACAAATTAACAATTAAAGTTCATTTTTTTTTTGAGGCATTTGCAGTCTCTAAAAAAGAACCTTTAAGTTTATACTTTATGTCAATGATCAATATGAATATCTCATTGTTCATTTCTTCTTCTGCTATCTTCACTGTGACTTCACGTCAGTAATGTAAGATGACAATGACAATTGGCACACAACTACCACTGTTCTTTCAAAGTTATACAACATCTTAGGATATCACTGGATGATCTGATTCGTATGCAGTTGACCATTGTTAGCAAAGTAACATTTCAGTTTTTCAGTATATGTCAAAGCAAACCACCACTTCCAAAGAAGAAACTTAGAAGTCAAAGATGGGATTATCGGGAAATATTTAAAACACATACAAATGTGCCTAACAAAATGTGAAACATTTTATGAATTCATGTCTATTAAGTTGCTAGCTTAATATTGTTCTTTATGGCTGTATGCATTTGATCAAATATATACTGTATGTGCATTTAATATTCAATTAATCATGCACATTTGCACATAAATTAACATGTCATAGTCATGAATAATTAGTCAATTTAGTCATCACTACATAAAATATGCACCATTCTCATTCTTCTTGGATGAAGGGTAGCAAACAGATCAATGATCTGTTCATAATCCAGAGAAATTGCCTTATGTGCATGCATTAGGGTCAAACCATTTAGTCTTTCCTGGCCTGTAGTGTTCCTTAAATAGTTCTTAAGAAGTCTGAGAGATGAAATTGACCTTTCACAGCTACAGGAGGTGACAAGAATAGTTGCCAATATCTTTAATACAGTAAAAATATTTGGAAAAGCTACAGGGTCTACAGATATTAGTGTTTTGGATATCCTGTCAGGAAGTTTGTCTATACCAACTTCCTCAACCTTATCTTCCCATCTTCTTTGCCATAAAGTTAATTCGGCAGGCAAACCAATGACATTTGGGATGTCACTAGAATAATGTTGGCAAAATAGTGTAACAGAATTTTTCCATGTGGATGGGTTTGCCAACATAACAGTGGGAACTATAGAAAACCCACTGTAACATGTATAGGCTTCAGGAGGGAACCTAGTTTCAAGTTGATTTAAAGCATGCTCAAGAAAAACAACAGAAAGATTAACTCTATAATGCCCTTCAATAGAATCTGATGGATTATTATTTCTATGTGCTTGCACTGGAATAATTCTAGGCTTACAGGGGTCAAGCCCAATTGTAGCTGCAAGTTCCACTGCCTCCTGATAGAGTTTATGGTGTTCTCTATCAATGTTGGACCTCAAGTCTTGAAGATTTTTCTTCAAAGATGAAATTTCTGAATGAGCCTTCAAAAGGTCCATTTCTTTTCTTTGCAGCTTTACAGTTGCAGGTCTAGTTAAGTCTAATATATATCTAACTATGACCAAAGTAACAACAAATTGAAAAGTTATAGAGGGCAGCATCTTTTTAGCAGCTGCTCTGCTATTTTGATTCCAATCACCAGAATCAGATTCTTCGTCCCCCCCTTTCCTATTGTGTGCAATATCTTCTATCGTACATACAACTGGGAGAAGGAGCTCAACAATTCTATCCAAGCCATCAAGGCGAGCAATCCACCTGGTCTCACAAACATTAATTAAAACTTCATGCTTGGAAGCAGGCAATAAAGACTTAACCTTCTCTTTTAAATGCTGTTGCCGTTTAGGAGAGCCAGAGAAGAAAGAGGAAAGACTCCTTACAACAGACATCATGTCTTTAACTAAATATTCAGAGCAAGTATCGGCAACACAGAGATTGAGGCAGTGGTTCATGCAATGAACATATAAAGCTTTGCTAAACTGACCTTGGATAAGTGACGAAACACCATTGTACTTTCCCGCCATATTGCCAGCACCATCATAGGATTGACCTCTGCAGTTAGCCATTGGTAAACCAAGGTCAGCTACAGCCTTCAGAATCATCTCTTTCAATGCCACTCCACTGGTTCCATCTTCACAATGGTAGAAACCAACAAACTCCTCTCGAATCTGCTGACTTGAATCGACAAATCGTAGGACTAAGCAAAGCTGCTCTTTGTTGGATATATCAGCTGCCTCGTCTGCCAACACTGAAAACAACTTGCTTTCTTTAATTTCTGCAGATATTTTTGGAGTAATGTAACTGCCAACAGTGTTAATAATCTCGTTCTGGATTGTTTTTGAACGGTAGGTAGCATTTCGAGGGGCATTCTCAAATCGAAGGGGCATTATCAACACGAAAAGCCAACAAAGCTTGGAAATTGCCCTGAAGAGTTTCGTCGTCAGGATTGTCATCTCTTGCACCACGTAAAGCCACGCATTCTGACCACAAAACACTACGGTCTTAATAATAAACCTCATCTTTTCACGATTCTGTTGGATCTGCCGAAAAGTAATCTGGTTTAACTGCTCGTCAATCGCCACAGTGCGTCTCGTCATCACATCCATGAAGTTTGCCATGGCCACCACAGAGAAGCTGTGTGTTTCACACTTGCCGGATGAGTGATTTTGGAGTCGCGTTACAGCCGTTGTCCAGAAAGTAAGCGGCGATCGGAAAAGCTTCTGTAGCCTCGCTGCGTTTTTGCCATATTGTATTCCAAAACAACAGCATGGAAGACAGAAGACGCCATCGAGATACTTTGAATACACAAGCCATGTGAATCGAACTAACCACTCGTGTCTACACTTTCGTAGCTTTCCTGCGGCTTCAACCAATGCAGGAAAACTATAATTCAAAGAAGGCTTCCCAACATTGTTGATGAAGCGAAACTTGCCTGCCGGAGGTATTCGCGACGAGGTATTGCGAAAATTGCCATATTAGCATTTCACGCAAACACTGCAAAGCACCACGGAATGTTCGGTCGTATTTATAACTTTTGACTAGTGCCCGAGTAGTTTCCGTGGATTTAATTAACAGCCTCTAGCCAATGACAGCACGTCTTGACTAGTGCACAAATAATTTGATCTGCAGTTGGCCAATGATGTGTGATCTTAACTAGTTTCCGTGGAAAATTTCCACGCAAATTGAACTGGTGCACACATGCAAAAGCACTAAATTCCACGCATTTCGTTGCATCGCTGATCTGTATAGATCAGTGGATTGCACAGGCATTTTAACCCGGATTTGCGTTTCCCAGGGTCCCTCTTCCGGTGAAAAATACCGTATATAAACAAAAATGGCTGATTTCGCCAAATTATTATATAAAAAAAATATGGTCAAAATTACTGAAAATTTTATTAACGATTTGGAAATTACTGAAAAACACATAAATTCACAAGTTTGGAAAAAATTTGACTAGTTTCCGGAAACTAGTGGCACTAGTTTGGATCCACCCCTGAGCTGAGGACCAGTTGTCATAGCTAGCTTGCCACTGAATACTATAGTACTGTACAATATCATGTATAACAAACAATAATAATACCTTAAATTATTCTTCTAAAACTTTCACCTCTGGTCATCATTAATTATATAATTCAATTCACTTTTACTTTATTTTTAACAACGTTTCGGACAATAAATAATAATACCGGAATGAATCATTGGATATGTAGAATTTAATTACAATTTCATACATGGAAATAGTACCAGTAAGGGCCTGTTCATATGGGCAAAAGTTATCCGGTTAGTGTGAAAACTTTTCAACAAGTTTATAAGTGAGATCTCACCTTGGTATGAAAATAATATGAAAAGTTACATTGCCTTCATATGAGACAACAACTTTTTCTGTGTACCGAGATCTTGCTTGTTGACAGGCGAAATCTCAGTGACCGGGATAATGATTTTCCCATGAACACAACTTTCCTGCTTAACAGGATAACTTTTTGTGGTGTCAGCAACTATTTAATTCATGTTCACATCACAACCAGTAACTTTACCCAGTAAGTAGGATAAAGTTTGTCCATGTGAACAGAACAAAAGTATTGGGCTAATCGAAAACGTTTCTCGTTAACTGGGATAACTTTTGAATCCACCAGTCCCCCTCTGTTGCTACAGCCCTGGGAAGTAATAAACCGAATAACACCGATTTACGATTTGTTAAATGTTATCCCATGTAAATTCTATGATTTCGTAAATCAGTTTATACTGAAAATACCATTAATAATTATATTATATTTTCTGTGTTTAACAACTAAAATTTTGTTATACTATTATTGCCGTAATTTTCCGAATGGCCAAACTGATTTTCCGAATATGTTAATTCTAAAAAAGTTGGGGGGTTAACCACCCCCCCCCCCAATACTCCCCCTCGCTACGGCCCTGCAGTTGAGATGTCATTATGCATAAGGTATATTGATATACAGTAAAGCCCCCCTGCATAAAACTTAGAACCAGTAGGTTAAGAACCACTAGCCTGAAATTTTGGTAATTAAGCACCCGAAATTACTGTAATATACAACTATTTTTATTGCCAATTTTCTAATTGGCATACAATGTATATATATTTGTAAAATTTGATATACAATAGTTAATACCTTGTTGGCTTGATCTTTTGACAGAAATATCTTCAAATATGTATGCGAGATCAGACTTCGCTACTGTATAAAGTAGCAAGTTTGGTACAGGTACAGCGAGTTGACAATTCACAGCTTTTTTCAAAAACATAATATGAACGGCCCCTTTTGATTTGATTTGACCAAAAGATCCCCACAAACACACACCAAAATAAAGTCGATATTTTTTTGAAAAATGGTTGTAAATGTCAGGAACGAGGTCAGGAACTATTCAGGAAAGAAGCCTGCAAACAGGCATTTAGAAAGAAAGCTGAAGTTAAGCTGGAATTCGAATCATACGTCACAAAACGTCATCAATCCATTGTTCTAAATGCTGAATCCGAAAATCTCGAATTCTCCTCCACATAACTCACGGAAAGACTGGGATCGACAAAATTAGTATGCTGCCTCTATGAGGCAGCAACTACACAGTAAAATTTGTAATGAATTTTATATTTTAAAATCATATTTACTTGCCTACTTTGATTTTATGTGATCGTCTTTTATTTCTGAGCGACTTTACATTCGATGCCTGCGACTGTATTGAAAGCAAAGGCTAACGATTCCAGCTCTCACAAAGCCGACACGAACAATTCAAATCGAAAAATATCCCCTTCAAATTGCTTTGTTCCCGGTAAAACTTCGCCAGCGTATAGAATAAACATTAACACCCATAGATAGATAGATAAACTTTATTTATACACGCTAACCCCGTCAACCGAAGCTGATTTCCACGAGGGGCGTGTGCAAAAATAGAAAAAAATTCCATAAAGAAGATATTAAGAGCTATTTACAAAAAAATTGGCAAAATACTGAATTATTTACATGATACGAACGTTGTTAGAATATTTACGCACATCAATTTATTTATTACTCTATGTCAATGATGTGAGCAGTGATTTTATTTCTAAAGGAAGAAAGAGTTTTGCTTTCCCTAATTTCCTTTGGAATAGATTTCCAAAGGTATGCTCCGTCATACATGAAACTATTTTTCATATTGTTAGTACGCGGATTTGGTAAACTTAGACCACTTGAAATCTCCCGAAGGTTGTAATTTGTTTTCTCACTTTTGTATGAAAAAAGATTAGTAAGTGAGTTGGAACCCATTTTATTTAACACGTCATTTTTGCCTTAGCTTTCTTCCTTTCTGTTTTGAGTGGTTCCCAGCCTAGTGCATGTAAAGCAATAGAATGATTTACGTCATTGTTCATATCCATAATAACTCTGGCAGCTCTATTTTGTAGTTTTTGGAGTCGTTTTGATTGCATTTCACCAAACACATCCCATACTTCACAGCAGTAATCAAAGTATGGGCGAACAATAGCATTATATATCGAAACAAGAGTATCTTTGTCAACAAAAGGTTTGACTCAACGAATACAGGGGCGGCGCTAACCCTCTTCGAGTGGGGGTGTGAGTGATCTTTTGCCGACTGTTATTTGGTAATTTTGCTGAGTCATTAGCCTATAGTGAGGGTCCTGAAGGGGGGGGTCCCAATCCCATTTTCCACCTGACCTTTTGGCAAAATCCCAGTCCCAGTTGGATTTTTATTAGAAATCCCAGTCAATAAAAACCCCTTTATTTATCGGTAGAATAAACAGTTTTAAGACCTTTTAAGCCACCGTGTGTGTGCAAGTGGCGGACATTTTATGAAATATTGGGGGGAGGCTTGTGCTGAAGTCACGGAAAATTTTTAAATTTGAATCCCGGAAATGGCATTTGCATCATCCATTTTGCAGCCCTCGAAAAGTCAAAATCTCAGCATTTCTTAAAATCTGTTCCACATCTTGGAGCACTATTAATCACACATTTAATTTACGAATCATTGAAATCGGAATATAATCCAGTTTTGCTGACTGAGATAACAATTTGCCGATTAGCTGACGAGGGGGGGTGTTCCCTGTAGCGCCGCCCCTGGACGAATAGCAGAGATTCCTGCTGTTATTTTTTGCAAATATTTTCAGTATTACTTTTCCAAGATAAATGCTGATCAACAGTTACTCCAAGAGTTTTGCATTCATAAACTTGTTTGATTTGTTTATCTTCAATTAAAACATTGGGATGAAAATCATAAATATTTTTATCATCGGTTTTGAACCTATCAACATAAACTCAGTCTTAGCTACATTGAGGCTAAGTTTATTTGCGGTTAGCCATTTTCTGAGGTTTTCTAAATCAGAATTTACTACAGTCACAACGTCAGTAATTGAATCTCCCGAGGCTGTCAGATTTGTGTCGTCAGCAAACAACCGAGGTTTTGTTTTGTTTAGACATTCAGGCAAATCATTAATATATAATAAAAAGAATAGTGGCCCTAAAATAGAGCCTTGCGGTATGCCACATTTAATCAATTGTTCTGATGAAAAGGAGTTTTTTATCTGGCATTTTTGATATCGGTTTGTAAGATAAGATTTGAGCAAAGTTAGAGCTTGTCCTTTTATCCCATAGAGCTCTAACTTCCTCAACAGAATTTGAAGATCAACAGTATCAAATGCCTTTTTCAAATCAATTAAAACTACTAGGTTAAACTTTTTCTTGTCCATATTCATATACCAATCATTGGTACAGTCCAGCAATGCAGTTGCTGTGGAGTGAAATTCTTGAAAACCAAATTGTGAATTACTTAGGAGTTAATATTTTGTTAAATTCTTGTACAGTTTATCGTACATAATTCATTCCATAATTTTGCTAATGGCCGGCAAAATTGCTATTGGTCTATAGTTTCCTGGAATATTTCGTTGGCCATTTTTATACAGAGGTATTACTCTAGCTATTTTCCATTCATCAGGAAAAGAAGATAGAGTAATAGCCTGATTAAAAATAAGTGTCAGTGAATCTGAGATGGCAGGAGCTGCTATTTTAATAATTTTACAAGAAATCTTATCAATCCCAGTTGCTTTGTTGCTAGAAAGCCCAGTTAAGAGACAACAGATACGACTTAGAGTAACAGGCTGAAATGCAGCAAATTCTGATTTAGCACGAGGGTTTAAACTGCAGGTGTGCAGGTGCAGGTGTGCAGGTTGCAGGTGTGCAGTTGCAGGTGTGCAGGTTGCAGGTGTGATATTCTAATACAAGATCAAAACTTAACATTCATGAACAAGTGTGAAGTTTGAATTCTCTTTTATAATTGATTTTGTCACTCTTTGCGAGAAATGTCCGCCATTTTTAATTTTAGTACAAAAACACCTGATATCCCATACTATCAATGGTTTTCCCCATACCGCCAAAAACATGTGATCATAGCATGTGATGGCACAACTTAGTACGAATTAAAGTCGGCTTTAAATATGGATCTGATTAATAGGTATGTACATCTATTTAATATGTGATACTTGATTGATTTTGGTATATTAAGTGGACACATGTTCGTATATTCAAATTACTATACGCTTGAACGCTTCGCCTTGTTAGATATATACGAGAATTTACTCAATTTAGGTCACTTCAGCTGGCCACCCAGTTGAGACTTCGAAATTACAGATTTACTTGTAATATTTTTGTTGTGCTTTAGATATGAAAGTGACTCAGACGAGGTGGAAGTAGAAGGTAGACAATTGTGTATTTACATATTTGAAGGGTATAAAAAGTGGATTATATATTTAAACTAGAAATACATGTCCCTGGACCCCTGGTTTCTTAACATACGAACTATATATTGCACTGACGTCACAAATCCTTAGAGTGTCCTCCAGATGCTTCCTATAAACAATATCTGTTCTGGTACAACCACCACCACATACAGTGCAAAAATTAACCATTTTAATACAAAATTATTATAATTTTTTACAAATTTGCTTTGTTTACAAAAGTTTTATTATGCATATATTATTATGACTATTATAGATTGCTAATTTGCCCTCCAAATGCATTGTCACCGGCGCTGTGACGTCATGTGCATGCAATGGGTATATACAGTGCATGTTCACAAAATCTATGTAATTACATACGTTGCTAAATATAATATGTTGTAAGAGATCGATTGTTTATTATGTCTCAGGAGGGGGGCGGTGGTATTTCTTTAAAAGATATCAAAATATGCACCCCCTATAATTTTTAGAACTAAAAATGACTCCTTTGTTTAACTATACAGATTAAAGATATACCCCCTCCATCCGAAAAAAAAATGGAATGGGCATCTCTAGGCATAAAACATTCCAATTGTGAGGCCTGGTGACAAGGAAGTGCCAATAGAAAAATTGGGCACTAGTTTACCACCGTTAGACAATTTCTCCATGGATCTCGTTCATAGCCATATTTAAAAAATTACACCCCCCCCCAAAAAAAAAGAAAACCACCGCCCTGAGACGTAATAAACGATCGGTCCCTACATATAATAAACTAGCTCGAAGTTAACCCTGTTGTACTACGTTGACAGTGCAAATACATTCTGATCAGCCTAGTCCCAGTCGTTATGAAGCAAGCGCGAAAAAAACCGTGAATGTAGTACGAGACTGGGACCTAGGCGGACCTCACAGCTAAAGGTGCTTCAGAACTCCTAGCAGATTTCAGTATTTTTGATATGGCGGAAAATTTGTATATAATATACAAATAACCTTGTAAATACGACAATGTTTGTTGATCATGTTCGATGTTTACATAACCAAATTGAAACTGTATTAAAAATGTACTCAATCAAAAAAATGATATACAAATTTACGATACTGAGTCTGAGCAATGGTAAAATGTTCAAAACAGTTTTGTCGTATAATCGTTGATGTTATTTATATACTCGCAAGTTGCGATCAACACTAGACAATGCTGGTATACGCAACTACGCTTTCTACTTGACAGGTTTAAGTAGCTAAGGAGATTGGAAATATTTGCCTGACATGACTGTGTTGTCAAAACATTTTTAGTCGAAAACTCGGCATAATTTTCAAGCTTCTAGATAGCATTTAATGGCTTTATATTTTAGTAAACACGAGTCATATTTAGCCCGTTATTCCATTCTGACCGCATGGTAGCAAAACGTAGCCTATTTCATTGTTCCGAGAGCATTAGAG